CCCCCCCCCCCAATTTAACTAGGGGAAACAACAAGTTAAAGGTTCTTTAATAGATGTAAGTATACCCATCAAGGACTAGGGGGAGGAAACCAAAATAACAAGGGAAGCCAGATCACAATGTTGAGGTGGAAAACAAGGGTTGCTCTGCCTGGGGTGGATGCTCTGAAGAATGGCCACTCCCTCTCTCAATTCACAGAGCAGGACCTAAAGTGCTCCTGGATCCCACATGGTTCCCAGCCCCTCCTCAGTCTCTAGCCACAGTCTGACCTTGTCATTTATTTCACACTGTGTGTGCACACCCTATGCAATTCCTATACCTTCCCAAACAGGTCCTCATTGGGATCCGTGCTCAGAAGTGAGTCTGAGACCATGGGGAGGTGGGATGCTTCTGAGACGGGCTAGAGAAGGGGTGGGAGAGAGCGGAGGACACAGGCTCATGATGATTAGAGGATGAGAGACAGGAGAAGCCTGACCACCTGCCAAGACCGAGCATCTCAATTCCCAAAGGCTGAGATAAACCCACCTCTTCACTGTGGGGCAACAGTTAGAAGCAGTGACAGGGACCCCAAAACATGATCACGAGAAACATGAGGGTCCCTGAAGGCTTCAGGTCATGTGGGCAGCCAAGGGCTTCTCCCAACCAGAGCATAATCTTTAATGGCAGCTTTGACATTCATGAAATGCAAGGTCTCCAAGAAGCTAGCCATACCAGCCAGATGTGGCTCTTCCCAAATTTATGAAAAGTGTCCCATTTGGGCCAGTGCAGATGCCTGTGCATACATATCGTAGATGAGAATGCTACTGTACATTTTCACATGCTCAGCCTTGTTTTTGATCCTCACAAAATCTGCACCAGGTAGGTTTTGTAATGTTTGCTTTACAGCCTAGGAAATGGGGGGCACAGAGAAGTGGGGTGATTCACTCAGGACCACCCAGCCAGTATAGGGTAGATTTGTTTCTCAAACCTGGGGAAATTAATCTTCTGGCCCCATTTGGCTCTAAATCTCATCATCATCCCACTATACCGATCCCTCCCTCATCTCTATACACACTATTTCTGAAGGAGAGTTGGGCTGAATTCCAGAGGGTTATTTAGTTTTTTCTTTAATACAGTTGTCCTATGGGACCATCTGGGAGGAAACCGCCTATCTCCACACTGTCCAGTGGGTGTGCTCCTGGGACCGAGACACTGACTTTTTCATTTTACTTAATTTCAATTAGTGTTACTCTAATTATCCTTGAGAGGCTAATGGCCACCATATTGGACAGTGTGGCTTTCTACAATCATAGGCACGAAATAAATCAAGCTAAAAAAAGTCTGGTTTTAATTGGTACAGCCATTCTAGATCGACTCGGGGAAAGTGTGTGTGATCGTGTCAAACACAGAACTAGGCCACAGTTCTCCATATTTATTTAAATTTTTAATTGTTTTTATTGTTGACAGTATTACAGATGTCCCCTATGTTCCCCTTTTTGCCCCCCTTCACCCAGCCTCTGCCCCACCCCAGGCCTTCACCACACTATTTTCTGTGTCCATGAGCTATGCACATATGCATATAAGTTCATTGATTAATCTCTTCTAGGCTCCCACTCCCCTGCCCTCTGAGATCTGTCAGTCTGTTCCATGCATCCATGCCTCTGGACCTGTTCTGTCTGTCAGTTTATTTTGTTCATTAGATTCCACATATAAGTGAGAGCATGTGATACCTGTCTCCATTCTCCATATTAAAATCAGTGAAACACATGGGAAATGAAATCATGTGATGCAGTGGTCAGCAAACTACAGCCAAGGGCCACATCCAGCCCACAGCCTGCTTTTGAAAGGCTTGTGAGCAAAGAATGAGTTTAGATTTTTTTAAAAAGCATATAAAAACAAAACAAAAGCAGAAATATTGGGAAAGAGACATAGGTTGCCCACAGAGCCTAAAATCTTGGTAATCTGACTCTTTATATTAAAAAAAAGTATTCTGAACTCTAACTTAATGGATCCATTTTATTATTGAAAATAGACAATGGGAGTGTTGCTTCACTGTTTATAATACTTTTTTTCTGAGTTTAAGAGTAAAGATTTATAATAATTATAGAACTGTATGATGTGCCTGTGCCCAACACCCTTCATTTTCAAATTGTATAATCAGTCATATTATCTACACATTTGTCATCCTATTATTTTCACTTATTATCCTGTAATGTGTACTTTATGCAAATATGTTAATGACCTCATAATAATCTGTTGTTTCATGATACTACATTTTAATCTATCCCCCTCCATTTGGGGTACTTAGATTGATAGCAATTTTTCAAAAAATAATAAGGAAAAGCAATGCCCTGGTATGTATTAGTATCAAAGACAACAACAATGACTAGCTAACCCTCCCAGCCCATAACAAAACAAAACAAAAGCTGGTTTCTTACCCCCCCCAGTAATGGTATTTAGACTGACCAGCTCAGTTAGTGTTTTGTAAGGGCAGCCAACCTGAGACCTCCCCTTCTCCAGCTGGGTGGCTGGAGGGGCCTTCCATTATCTGTATCCTGAGGCCTCGCATTGTTGCTGAGTGTAAAGATTATCCATTCCTCCCAAAGCACTTGGCTAAGACTTCCTTTCTCCCTCTTCTCCAAGTCAGCAATGCCTTTTTGGGCCAGGCTGTTTGCAATTAGCTGTCTTCTTTGTAACATTTACTTGGGTTTCCTCTTCCAGATTAAGGTGTACATCCTGGTACAAATTCACACCCCATTTTCACCGGACACAGTCACCTGAGCTACCTCTCCTCTCTCCAGGTGTGACAAACACCTGGGTAAGGGCCAGAGGCCTTGTCTCTGAGGTCTGAAGAGTGTGGCCTTTTTTTCTCTCAGGATCCAGCCTTTTCCGCAGAAGCTGAGGCCCCCTCTCTTCTCAGCCATTGTTGAGGATTCACCTGGTTTTTAGCTTGGAAGTGCATGCTTCTCGCTTAGGAGGAGCAGTTGTGCTCCTGGAAAAGGGGGAAATACATTGCACTTTTGTAAATTGTATCCTCTGTGTTCACTGGCCTCTATGAGCACTCCTGAGTTTGTATTTGTTTCACGCATCTTTACCTGGCCTTGGATGTTTTAAACTTAAATGGTCCTGCTTTGTAGCCAAATAGCTCATCATCTGTAAATAACACCCTTAAATGCAGTAGGGGAGATGGTTTTTAAAGGAACCCTGCTGAATTAGTCAGTAATGAAAATAACTCTACTGAAGTTATCTGTTTTTTAAGATGCACTTTTGCATAATGGGTTTTCCCCCTTAAGTGAACCATCCTCATAGCACGACCCAGGACACGAAAGCATCCAGAGAAAGGTGTTCATGCAGGCGCTGTCAATACAGCCTAATCCCATAGAGCCTCCCATCTCATACAACTGACTCCAGTTTCTCCTCCTCATGCCCTTTAGCATAGTGTGAAACCCTAGTTCAAGTGTCATGGGACATCAAACATCCTCTTACATGCCCCCATCACTCATTCTGAGTGTACAATGGGCCTACTTTCTATCAAACTTAAATAAAGTCAGAGCAAAACTCCAGAGAATAAGGGAAGATCATCTTGCCCCAAATGCAAAACATGTAGTATTAATATTGTTGTCTTAAGTTATTAATTTTAATCAACTAAATTAAACTAATAAAATACTTTTAATCATTTTAAAACAACTTTTTAAAATTAATTTGAAAGAGGAAGAGAGATAGAGAGAGAGATTGATTCGAGAGAAAAACATTAATTAGCTACCTCCTGTATGTGTCCTGACCAGGAGTTGAACCTAAAACCTAGGTATGTGACCTGATGGAGAATGGAACCTGCAACCTTTTGGTGTACAGAATGACGCACCAGCTGAGCCACCTGGTCAGGGCAATTTTAAAATAATATTAATTAATTAATTAATTAATTAATCATGTGTTTGCTTTGAGTAGCAAACAATACAACCCCTAGGCCAGTGGTCAGTAGGCCTTGCCTGTCCCGAGTGAAAGGCACCAGCCACACTAGCACTGTTTGCACGCAGTGAATGCATAATATAAACATGTATCCAGGCCAAAGTAGGAAGGTAAAGAACATCTCACCTCTCTTCCAAGTTAAGGCATTACTCTGGTTTCTACTCTCTGAAACACGCAGCAGTAAATCATTGGTTCCATAAATATGAAAGCCCACCTCCAATATGGATCAGCAAAGCCAGCAATCACTCACCCTCATTTCCATATGAAGTAGATGTTTCCAGAAGGAGGTAAATATCATCAGCTTTATTTGTTTTACCGTTTTACGAATAGATTTTCAATGACAAAAGAGACATGGATGGGCTCACTATAATCGG